GGTGAAGGGCTTCTCTCCGGTGTGAATTCTCATGTGACATTTAAGGTTTTGTTTCTCTGTGAAACTCTTTCCACACTGAGGGCAGGTAAAAGGCTTATCTCCCGTGTGAATTTTAATGTGGCTATCAAGGTTTTGTTTTACTGTGAAACTCCTTCCGCACACAGAGCAGATGAAAGGCTTCTCTCCGGTGTGATTTCTCATGTGAATATCAAGGTTTTGCTTCATGTTGAAACTTTTGTCACACTGAGAGCAGGTGAAGGGCTTCTCTCCAGTGTGAATTCTCATGTGAATATAAAGTTTTTTTCTCTCTGCGAAACTCTTTCCACACTGAGAGCAGGTGAAAGGCTTCTCTCCCGTGTGAATTCTCATATGAAAATTAAGGGTAGTTTTCGCTGCGAAACTCTTTCCACACTGAGAACAGGTGAATGGCTTCTCTCCGGTGTGAATTCTCATGTGAACTTCAAGGCTTTGTTTTACTGTAAAACTCTTTCCACACTGGGAGCAGGTGAACGGCTTCTCTCCAGTGTGAATTCTTATGTGCTTTTCTAGGCTTGCTTGCTTGGTGAAACATATCCCACATTGATGGCAAGTGAAATAATCTTCTTTCAGTTCTTTCAGACCTGAAATAAGCATAAACAAAAGCAAAAGTCAAAAATCAATTCAAGGACAATAAAAGTGAGATAGCCAATGTTAGATTTGCACCAGATGTCATTGTTTTATCTTTGACATACTGAACGTTGAATCTTTCATTCTCAAGTTTTTGCTATTAAATCTGGTATGGCTTATACAAGGGTATTATCTTTTATATGCACTTTGCTATAGCCTTTTCCTCTATTAACAGACACTGTTAGGCTCAAGTTACCCCTGGTACTAACATCCATCTCATCTGTCTAGGGCTGCAAGATATTGGGAAAATTTTTTAGTTTTTCCTGTGATATATATTGCGCTATGAAAAAAATTTGGGTTTAAGTGATTTGGGTGTTCACATTTGGGTTTACTCTTAACAAGAACAAACTTAAACCTTTAGTAAGCTTAACAGACTTTTAAAAAATATCTCTCCGCCAGAGTTTTCATAGATCACATTTCTACTGTTTTTGACCAATTCAGTAAAACTATAAAAAGTATTTATACTTTTGTTGCATTATTATTATTAAACATATATTAAATATAAATATTACTAGCTCCATAAATATAAATAATACATCATTCTTCAGCTTCAGCAAGAACCAATGAGGTTCATTCTCGTGTTACGCAGCACGTTTGAGCCTCAGCAAGAACCAATGAGGTTCATTCTCGTGTTACGCAGGACATTTGAGCTTCAGCAGGAACCAATGAGGTTCATTCTCGTGTTACGCAGGACATTTGAGCTTCAGCAGGAACCAATGAGGTTCATTCTCGTGTTACGCAGGACATTTGAGCTTCAGCAGGAACCAATGAGGTTCATTCTCGTGTTACGCAGGACATTTGAGCTTCAGCAGGAACCAATGAGGTTCATTCTCGTGTTACGCAGGACATTTGAGCTTCAGCAGGAACCAATGAGGTTCATTCTCGTGTTACGCAGGACATTTGAGCTTCAGCAGGAACCAATGAGGTTCATTCTCGTGTTATCGAAGCATCCTGGGCCTCCATAACACCTCAGCAGTGCCACAGGCTGATTGCCTCCATGCCACGCCGCATTGAAGCAGTCATTTCTGCAAAAGGATTCCCGACCAAGTATTGACTATTGAGTGCATAACTGAACATAATTATTTGAAGGTTGACTTTTTTTTTTGTATTAAAAACACTTCTTATATTGGTCGGATGAAATATGCTAATTTTTTGAGACAGGAATTTTGGGTTTTCATGAGCTGTATGCCAAAATCATCAGTATTAAAACAATAAAAGACCTGAAATATTTCAGTTGGTGTGCAATGAATCTAAAATATATGAAAGTTTAATTTTTATCATTACATTATGGAAAATTATGAACTTTATCACAATATGCTAATTTTTTGAGAAGGACCTGTATATCAGGACCAGTTTATATAGGCTACAATATTTTTTATTCAATGGCAAGTCAGTCTTTTACAATCAAACACATAATTACAATCAAAAAGAATTTTTAGTAAACGCTTTAGGATGTAACAAGAGTAGCAAGAGGCTTCCCAAGCAGCCTATGGGAATCTGTGGGAAGAAAACTGGTATCATATGCTGTTCCAGGTCATTAAATGACAATCTTATATATTCATGTGTGAAAAGTTACATTAAAAACAGCTTTACCTTGTGCCATCTCATCATCTGTCATAAGTGCCAAACGCATAGCGCGAGTGCATTAGATCAATAGCGCTCCTATTGATGCGTCAGCGGCTCACGGCAGCTTCTACACACATGACAGCGATGTTTCACATTGACCCAGCGCTGGGTAGGTAGGTATCATTTGCAGTGATGGGAATAACGGCGTTATAAATAAACGGCGTTAATAACGGCGTTATCTTTTTCAGTAACGAGTAATCAAACGAATTACTGTTTCCCCCGTTACAACGCAGTTACCGTTACTGACAAAAAAAATGTGGCGTTACTATAATTGAACTCACTGAAGCGGTTTTCATCCGAGTAGGCTCTCTCTCCGGCTCCGCCATAGGACCTGCAAAGTTTTTTTCTCTGGTGTGTGTGTGTGTGTGTGTGTGTTTATGAGGCGCCGGAGTGGACAAAAGCGAAGCCCGAACGGCGCGTGCGCGCTCAATGCGCGAGAGAGACCGAATGTGTCCGAGAGCGCGCTCAACAGTTGCGCAAGAGAGACCGAGGGTGTCCGAGCATTATATAGTTTGTTTATAAATAAATGACTTATTTCAGCATTAGACAGCATTATCTATAGCCTATTGGTATCATCTGCAACGTTAATTAATCTACATGGTTATACAAATAAAATCTATAACACTGAAAACATCTTTGTTTGACCGGTTGTAAACACGTGCGGCAAACATGTCTAGAATTTGGCTTAAATAACCTCTGATGATGATGTTCGCTATAGGTTATAAAAATAAACCCCCAAAATATTATATTTTAGTTTTTTTTTTTTTTTTTTTGGTAAATTGTTCAGTATTATATTGAGAGAGCACTTGTTAAACTGTTTACTTTTGTTAGGAAGAAAATACTTAGGCTACAGTATGTCTACTAGTTGTGAAGTTGTGTAACAGTTTTATCATTTTAATATGCACAAAGAGTATGTATATTTTTTATTATTATTTATTCATTTTTGGTACATTTCTTAAGAAGCATAATTTATTTTTAAACTTTAAAAATACTGTGTGATATTAAGTATAAACCATGATGTTTTATTGTTTTATTTTATTGTTTTATTGTTACATTGTCCCACAGCAACATTAAAATAGAATAAATTATTATTATAAAACATTGAACGCTAATCTACACTATTAAGTGTCCATTTCATTAATTTAACATATTTAATACTGGGGGCATCCAAATTATTTGACATAGGCCTATTTGAATTTTTTTTTTTTAAGTAATGCAATAGTTACTTTCTCTGGTAATTAGTTACTTTTATAATGGTGAAACTCAGTTACTAACTCAGTTACTATTTGTGAGAAGTAACTAATAGCTATAACTAATTACTTTTTTTAAGTAACATGCTCAACACTGATCATTTGTATTGGCCCAGCAGAATAAAAAATATTACGAATAACCCAATACAATGACCCAACAGACTGAACCCAGCATTTGTGATAAAAAAAAATAAAAAATAAAAATAAAAAAAACTTACACGGTCCTTCATTCGTCCATTCTTGTCTTGGTGATGACTGGCATGTTTTCGTCTTCACATCTGGTGTGGTCTGGTTGTCTTCATGCAGCTCCATCTTTATCTCCAGGAAATGTTAGATCCAGTTAATTTTCCAGATCGCTCCATCAGTCAGTTATTCTTCTTCTTCTTCTTCTTTGGGAATTAACGGCAGCTTGCATCCAGAGGCGTTACACTACTGCCATCTTCTGGGTTTAATTCCCTAAATGGGCTTTTCTCTCACTGATGCAGTTACATATATTCCTGTAGAGAGCGCGTCAGGACTATTGGGTCGGTGAGCTGTAGGTGTGTGTGTGCGTGTGTGTGTGTGTGTGAGGGCGCTGTCCGAGGTACTGATAAAAATAAAAATAAATAAATAAAATACATCACCAGTGATGTGTGTGTGTTGGAATGTTCAGTGTTCTAATGTTATAAAATAAAAGCGTTTGAGATGCCTAGTAGGCCTATATGTAGCAAGAGGAAAACAATAAAAGCATAATAATAATAAACAATTCTATATGCAAGATGAATGTCACTGCAACTTTGCCTTTTCATCTCATTGTGTATCTGCACCATCTGTGCAACCTAAGGCCCCAATGCTGTTCTGGAAGAAAAAATAATAATAATAAAAATAAACCCCCGGGTAAACCTTCTTTGTGAGATTCAGAAATTACAGTAAATTATCAATTATGAAATCATCAAATCCTCTTGATTTCTGCCGTTTACACTGTGTTTATGTGGAATATCTGGGGTGATTTGTGTTTGTGTTGATGATAGTTTAAATGAAGTCAAAGAGAAGCTGTTTCTCACGAGAACATGATGGACATTTATCTTGCATCAGCATATGCTAGAAGAGAAAAAGGAAGCGGTTCTACAGAAGTGTCTTTTTAGTGCCATGTGAATGTGACATTGACATTTCAGTAAACTCGCATGCAAATAATGACTTGCTCCTCTGTGACTGAACTAATGCATTAATACAGATTCAAACAGGCTTGAGTGACATTTAATCATAATCAGACATTTTCATCTGGGTTTGCAGAATCATATTTCCAAAGAATTATATATATATATATATATTGTGTGTGTGTGTGAGTGTAAACTAGCACTTGTGTCGTTTGACTGCAAGAGGTGTTGCACTCACTCAGAGGAAGTGAAGAAAGACGGGATGTGTGAAAACAGTTAGCAAACAGATCATAGTGCAGTTTTTACACTCAGATTTTGCAGATTGCAGTAAGGTAGGACACGCACATATATTTTACAATGCAAAAACAAGTTTCAGCTTTAATAGAGAGATAATTGAATATCATATATGAAGTATACTTGTTTTATATGTATCTATAAACACTCATCAGTCATACTTGTGTAATTGTAACAATCTTCCTCATGTCTTCCAGAATGTTTGGTGTTTTCTCTCTGATTTCTCTGCTTGTGATTCCTGGTGAGTCTGAACCTAATTCTTGTTTTCACACATACGCTGAAGAAACCTCCATCTTTCAGGATGTTTTGTCTGTATTTCTGTATTTAAAGACAGTTTAATGTCTATGTCAAGAATGTGTAGTGTTCACAGTTCTGCTAAACTGACACAGAAATTTTCAATTTTCATCAAATTAGTCTTTAGACACTTCCTGGAAATACTGGCTATCTGTGCCATTTTTGTGTTCATGTAAAGTGTTTGGGATCCTCTGGGTGGGGTGTTACTAGAATATTTAGGATATAGAGAGCATGAGTGTTTTTTTTTTTTAAGTAGCAAAGAAAACCACCAAAGAAAATACTGAAGAAGAAGAACTGCTTTTGTGTTGTAGAGAAAAAAAATGTTTTATATTTTCCAGGGATTTGCAGTCGGGAATGGAAGGTTCAGTACACGAGTATGAGCAAATGTGTCCTAAAGGGTTCAACAACACATTTATCAGGCACTTTTAAACACCCAGATCATCTCACTGTGACAGAGATATTTTGGGTCAAAAACCCAGGTAAAGACAAGGTCATCAATCTGTTAAATCTTCCAGATTACAGAGGCAGAGTTGAGTATTTCCCCAGTAAAGACCGAACATTCATTCTCAGACTCAGTAATGTGAGACGTGAGGATGAGGGAAACTACTGCATCAGAATCCTGACAAATGAAGAAAGAGAAAGATTTCTGGGTTTTCCTGGGATTGAGCTCAGTGTAACAGGTACAGTCTAACTAATATTGCACTGACAGATTTTACTCTGTTCTTTCATATAAATATAAAGTGTGTTTTGTGTGTGATTTCAGAGCTCAGAGTGGAGATTCCTGAAGAGGTCGTTGAGAAAGATTCCCCTGTTTTATTTTGTAAGAGCACCTGTAACCTCTCAGACAGAACAGACTTTATCTGGTATAAAAACGGCGAGTCTTTCTCAGAGTCGAGCGACGGGAATCGTCTGATTCTGCAGTCGGTCAGCAGGGATGATACGGGAAACTACAGCTGTGCAGCGAGAGATCAGGAACATCTGCCGTCTCCTGCCGTCACTCTCAGCGTCAGATGTAACACACACTTCAGCTTTCAGACAAGTTCAGTCCAGACTCATCAAATGATGCACTGTGAGTAATTTTTTGTCTTTTCAGATCCTCCACAGAGCGTGTCAGTGTGGGTCAGTGGGTCTGGTGTAATAGTGGAGGGAGATTCAGTGACTCTGAACTGCAGCAGTGACTCAAACCCTCCTGCTCTGAACTTCAGCTGGTTTAAGGAGAAGGAAACCTCAGCTGTTGGATCTGGACAGAGTTTCAGCATCTCCAGCTTTAACTCCAGTTTCAGTGGACGCTTCTACTGTGAGGCTCAGAATAAATATGGATCTCGGAGATCAGCGTCTGTGTCTTTGTTCGTGTCTGCAACATCTGCAGGTATTGACATGTGCCGCTGGCTCTTCTGCTGGTGTGATTATCAGCCGTGTGAATGATGTTTCTCTTCGCTCAGGTGGCCTGAACACAGGTCTGTTTGCAGCTGCTGGCATCGGGGCTGCGCTCATCGCCATCTGCGCTGTTGTTGTAGTAATACAAATCCTCAGGTAAGAGAAAAGCACTAAGCGCGACACAAGTGTTTTTTACACATTAAGAGAATAGGGACAATTCTAGATCATGCGCTGGGTGCGGCGACCATTTTTCTCGTTGGTAAAGGGTAACTAAACCCCTGGTCAGAGCCTGACTCCACCTAGTCTCAGCCTCAGACGTCACGCCCACGGAACGTTGGCTAAACGTCTGATGCATATGGTACACTTAACTGGAAACACTTCAGGAATGTCGAAGTCGTCATCTGATTGGTTGAATTTTATCGGATTTCCGGGGGGTGCGAGTGTCGTGTTTATTTTCGGTCCGCCGGGAAACAAACCGCAGACCGTGTGATTGCGGAAGAAAAACTGTTGTGTTTACATGAGTGACAATGAGCATTTATCAAGAATAGCTAAACGTAGGATTCTCAAAAGTATGCGAGGTTCACGGCATAGACTCTTTAAGAGATGTCCAGGACTTTTGTTTGAGGCACTTAGTGGAGACAAAAAGAGATATTTTAGCCTGTTTGCCGATGGGATTTGGGAAGAGTATTATTTTCCAAGCCTGGCCGACCCTTTGTCAGCATTTAGAAGGATTCCCAGCAGATCCAATTTTACTAGTTGTGTGTCCCCTCCTATCTATTATGCATAGACATACACAGATACTGCTTATTTTCTTCTCCTTCTTTGATTTTCTATGCTGACTGACTTGTTGCACGCCGGTCTGTTGTTGTGGGGACATTTCCACGCCCCGAAACGTGACGCTGAACGAAACAAAGTGTAATTGGTTGTTTGATATGTCGGTCAAACGGCCTTATGGGCGGGCCTTGGCCAAAGAAAGCTGCTATGAATTCCAGACCTTCAGCCGTCAGTCTGAAGGTCTGGCTACGCGAGACTAGACTCCACCCACTGGCAATATTTGAAAAATGCTGGAAAAGTGGGCAGAGCCCAGCGGAGGGGGTGTGTGCACCTGAGACAGGTCTCTCTGTAGGCAGGGGTGTGGTTAGCTTGTGCCTGCTTACATCACAGGGCACCACAACTTCCAATAGGAAAATTCAACTGCAGTAGCCACCGTTCAACCTGAAGAGGGCAGCACTCAGACGTGTTTACACCATATATTGTAGAATAAAAACACTTTATACCCAAATGTCAAAAAAATTACTTGAATCAATGACCAGCATTAATAAAGCCCCAGTCTTACAGATAATTAACTAAAAAAAGTTGTTTTAGGGTTTAGTTACCCTTTAAACTAGCAAAAGTGGATTCGGACACATGCGCCGTGTGCTTTAGACCATCGCTTAGATCACTAAAACAGGGCCCTGTGTCTGAAGCGTCATAAAGATTCAGAGTCAGTTTGTGTTCATGTCCATTTCTTCTTCTCTCACAGGAAACGAGTGACTCCATCAGAAGAGCAAAACCACAGAGCATCACAACACCATAAAACAGTGAGACAATCTTCTCAAGCTTCTTCTCATGTGTGTCCTGTCAGTTATGAAGGGAGAATTGATTCTCTCATCATTGTGTCGTCAGGTTGAGTCTCCTGAGGACGCCTACATGACCCTTGACCCCAAGTCCAGATGTTCTGAGTACGACACACTGGATGTGAGTTATTCTGCTGTTGTTGTGAAGGTGTTACATGAGATCTTATTTGTGATGCATATATTCACTTCTTCTCTAGAATATGAAGAGATCCTGTGACACAGACGACCCTGAAGATCAGGATTGTACATATTATAACATGGACAAATGATTAATCTTAGTGGTCATATCATGCCTTTTTTATTATTTACTTTTCCCTTTTATTACAGTCAGATTTCCACCCTCTCTACGACTTAGAATTTAATACTTGATATTTGTTTCTTTATTTATTGTGGTAAAGATGGTTTGTTCTTACTTGAGCAACCTTAGTAAAGTCAGTTTCCTGTAACTATGATAACCTCCTTCTTTTAACAACTGAATGTTCGTTGTTATTTGTAGAATTACGTTATTTATTTTTTAGATGCTGGTGTATGCAAAATTATTTGTATTCTTTTGATTAATGTATTTTCTTTCTTTCTTTTATTAATTATTTATTTTTATGAATCTTATTAATTTCTTCTTTATGAATTCTAGTCATTGATAGCTATGTATTAATTTAATCATCATTAATTGTTATATTAATTAATCATCATTAATTGTTATATGTTGCATTATTATTATTATTACATGTTATTGATTTCTTTTAATCATTTATATATTTTCTACTATATGCTCTGATATGTTTGATTATTTCCAAATGTAAGACCTTCGGTGTCTCTTCTGTGTTGTAAGATCGAGTGGCTGTATTTTCCATCAGAGTTGATGTACGTGATGTCTCCCTAGTCCTTCGCCATTCCATCATGAACTACATTTCCCATAAACCTTTGCCTGGACTCATTATCATGTGATTACATCCACCTGTGTGTCATTAGCTTGTTATTGTCTGTGTATATAAGCCCTGTAATATGGAGTATGATTGTGGATTACTCTCAATAAAGCTGTGTTTGGATCTCCAGCCCAAGTCTCTCAATGCAGTTACGTAACAATTTACCTTCATATCAAATATATTTTTATTTCCATCTCTGCAGATATGAGATAATGTAAAATCTGCGATATTCTCTTAAAGGTGTCAAAACAACACTTTGTATATCTATTTTAATCTATCTTTGATATCTGACCGGTCACGCCGAACTAGCCATTACACCAACTATGACCTATGATGGATAAGTCTGCTTGATTTAAATAAATTACTTTAAAAGACTATTTGACTCAGTGTCTCTTACGCAGTGATGATGTTTAAGAAATTTGCCACAACACTGTACAGTTAGATTCAGTTGACTATGCCACCTACCTCAACTACAGTGACTGACAATGGTGACCGTAAGAGGGACAGTGTGAAAGTTTTACGCATTCCCATAAAATAATAATAATAATAATAATAATTCATTACATTTATATAGCGCTTTTCTCTGCACTCAAAGCGCTTTACATAGAAGGGGGAATCTCTTCAACCACCACCAATGTGCAGCTCCACCTGGATGATGCGACGGCAGCCATATTGCGCCAGAACGCCCACCACACACCAGCTTACTGGTGGAGAGGAGACAGAGTGATGAAGCCAATTGGTATATATATATATATATGGGGTTGATTAGGAGGTCATGATGGACAGAGGCCACTGGGCAAATTTGGCCAGGATGCCGGGGTTACACCCCTACTCTTTCGAAAAACATCCTGGGATTTTTTGAGACCACAGAGAGTCAGGACCTCGGTCTAACGTCTCATCCGAAGGACGGTGATCTTTGACAGTATAGTGTCCCCGTCACTATACTGGGGCGTTAGGACCCACACAGACCACAGGGTGAGCACCCCCTGCTGGCCTCACTAACACCTCTTCCAGCAGCAACCTGGTTTTCCCAGGAGTCTCCCATCAGCTACTAACCAGGCTCAGCCCTGCTTAGCTTCAGTGGGCAACCAGTCTTGGGCTACAGGGTGATATGGCTGCTGGCCATAAAAGGATGACCAAATGAAGGGGAAATCCCACACTACTACAATCTACAATAAAACTACAATCTTCTCAGATAAAAATCTCTACCTGGGATGTTTTAAATAGTCAATAAATAATAATAATAATAAACAAAACATACATACCACATGTGTTTACTATAAGAAAACAAAACCAAACCAAAGCTGCAACTTTTGTAAAACGGTTTATTTAGGTGTTAAAATAATGAAATTGGTACATTGGAAAAGCATTAAAAAACGTCATGATGGTATCAAAATCTGACTAGGCCAAAAGGAATTGGCTAGAATGTTATTTGATGACTCTTGAGTGCACACTGCACATACAAAATAAGATTGAATCAACTTTTTTTCTGACCAACATGTCTATGGGTACCGCACCAAAACAATGGAATAGTAATTTCCATTTAGTAATAGACAGAGTAAAAGTGATGTAAATAATAAGCCATTGATGTAACTTATACTTTCTGTCAATTCACTGCTGGCAAAATGGGCTTTCAATAAAACTTGGCTGTCTTGGCTGAAAGGCGAAAAAATTAAATAGCTGCTACCTGATAGAGAAAACAGAAAAAAATGCTGTTGTCTTCCCTTTTGCCAAATAGGTAGGAAAACTTCAACACCCATAATGCAGTGGGAATATAACAGTCCAAGGCCACTCCCACCAGTCTGCTATGGATACGCCTGACCAGAGTCAAATACCACCTTGCTTTAGTAGGAAATAGTTCTTAGCAAACTTTTAGTTATAATGAGTTATAATGGTATAATTCAAAGAGTAAATGTTTAGCGGGAGTGAGTTATTTTAGGTTTCCAGTGAAGGATCCAGTGCGTTGTAGGCAGTGGCCAAAGGCTGCAAAGAATTATAAATATGGAGAGAACAGCGCAATGAAAAATCTGAAAAGAACTGTGTTTGTAGTCAACATTTGTAGTCAATTATAGTCAAACTGTATGACTATACAGTGTTTTAGGCAAAATGAAGGGGGAAAACTGAAAGAAATTGTCGTTCTGTCATTTCCACCCAACCCCGAAGTACGCCTACGCTTACAGGTAAGAAAGCTGTTGCTATAATGTTACATTTTTACCATAATGCTGTTTGAAGGGTAGACATAGTACATTTTCAGTGATAAACCTACCTTTACAATAACAGTTCTGTTAACAACTCTGTCTATCCGGCTGTCCCAAACAGCAATATAGTGTTGGCCCACACCTCGTGCACTTGGTCCTTGTGTGGGAATGCAATAAAAATGCAGACGTATAACATGTGTATTTCACAAAAGCCCCGGAGCTGTCAAAAGTCCGCCAATTAACTTGAAACAAATAAATGTGAATTTATCAGTCCAGGTAACACAGAGAATAAGTAAACCTTGCTCATTTACATATACCACCGACATTGTTAAAATACAAAGCGGGTTGAAAATTGGCAAAGTTACACTTTAAGTAATGTGCATTCTCGCCTGTCCTACCATGATCATTTTTAATCAAAATAATGTCTCTGGGTTCCAAATGTAAGTGCGAGGCTGTGTATGGTGTTGGCCCTCAAAAGATCTGTTTTTAGTGGATGTTTTCCTTGGGACGTTAGAGGCAATTAAGTGCAAAAGAAGTGGTATTGAACAAGAGAACGGAGAGCTCTATCCCTGCTCCAAACGTAGCCTCATAGCCTCCTTATGAACCACCCAGAAATTGGAGTGCCTTCAAGCACTCATGCTGGGTCCAGAGATAGAAGAGTTTGCGGAGGACCTAAGGGGGATGTAGCATTTGAATGTCGCAGACTGAACCCTAGCCTATCTGAACCTCTTGACAACAGTGTCAATAGCAGGCCAGAGTGCAAGATGAATTTCTCCTCCTCCTTTATCCTTGAGAGGTTCAACCACAGATGCCTCTCCATGGTGACTATTGCAGCCATGGTCGTCTGCTTGCTGGCGCGGAGGGTGAGAGGTATTTCAGGAAGTCAGCCTGATAAGCCTGCAACACAGCCATAGTGTGCAGAGCTCCACCAGCCTGACCTGCCACCGCATAGGCCTTGTCCACCAGTCTAGATGTCATTTGACATGGTTTAGAGGGCAAGACCGGAGCCTTCAGAGAAGACGCCGCACCAGGGGAGAGATAGATCATGAGTGCCTCTTCAACCCAGGGTATCTTCTCATACCAGTCCCTCCACATTCAAGCAATTAGAAGCAGTAGAGGTTACTAAGCAAAAGTACCCACAATCTCAACACCCCAGCATGTAGATCGGAAAAAGACAGAAGATTCATGAGGAAAGAGCATCTATGACCCACCAGGACATGTTCATCAACTCTACTTAGAGCAACTTCTTTTTTCTCTGCTGACCAGTCTAGACTGAGTCTAGCTGTGGCGCGGATCATGAGCTCAACCAGCTCCTCGTACACGGGGCTAACGGAGGAGGTGGGCTCACTGAAAGTGTCTGCCTCAACTCTTGTTACATCTAGCTCTTCAGAGCCAGATGCCCGATGCCAGATGCCCTCGACCAGGGGTGCGTTTCACAAAAACATTGTTAGCCAACTATGGTCAAAGTCCCGTCGTCATCAGCAGTTCAACGAGTCTGTGTTTCCCGAAACCATAGTTCTAACGAACATTCGCAAACAGCATTGCAGAGTTGAGTGTTTGGAACAACAGATCTCGACCTGTGGTTAGAAGGAGTTTCTTGTTTGCATGACATGTGGACTCAATAAATCCTTATCTTGAGCCAAATAAGCATGATGACATTCATTACAATCTGTGTCTTTTATTTAGAATACATACAAATGTCTTTTACCTCCTTTAGTTTGTTCAGCGATTTAAAATGTCGTTATTGAAGAGTGCGCATGTGCGAACGTTCTCTAGTACGAAGAGCCTATGATTGAATCTGGAAATAAAGCAAAATAAATTAGAAAAAATTAGAATTAGTTCTCAGATGCCATGTTTGTAATTTATGGCAAAAACTCTAGTATTAATTCGATCTCTAACGATTAATTAAAAGTAGTTTTTACTTCACCAAGTTCGTGACATCATTAACCAACGTGGTTGAACAACAACTTTGGACAATATGGTTTCGGGAAACAGTCGTGCCTAGCTAGTTGATTTCTTCAACGATGGCAGTTAAGAAGCGAGTTGTGCCTTTGTATGGGAAACGCACCCATGATCGGAAGAAGCTGCAGAGTGACTGCCAGTGGATGGCACTGCTACTCAACTTACTCAATTTTCAAATGATTAACTGAGATTATGACTACGGTTAACTAATTGTAAAAAGTTTTGGTTAATGCATTTTATTTAGGTCTAGATTTCCTTGT